TTCAACAACCAAGGTCACCATTTGGTTTCTCAGTTTTATCCCTGCTGACTCCTAGCACTGTGCTCTTTGCCTTCCCCAACAATCTGTTTCCCAGCTCTCATCTCCCCATTTCCATCCCATCCTCCAGCTTAACCCTTGTGGTGGTAGGCAATGAGGAGCAAGCAAGAACTCTACTCGGGCTCAGAGCTCAGGCCAGCACTGGCACAAACTGCTGCTGCTGTTCTGCACTGTGAGAGCAAGCCAGGAACACAGCTTTCATTTAAGTGCAGCTGAGCCCCTGCCAGTTCTGGGGTTGAACATGTCTATTCCTTCTTCAGGGAGTTCATCTGGCATCAGCCCAGAATACAGCTGGACATCTAAGAACAGCGGTCTCATGTGTTCACTCTGCAGAAGCCACAGCAGCAGATTCTGAGCATCAGCAAAGCATTTCTGCCAAAAGCTTCCCAAATTGCAGCAGTCAAGCCAATATACGTATCAAGCATGAAAATTTCAACTCGGCAAAGCAGCAGCAGTGAATAGTCATACTAACGAACAGCAATACTTGTGTAGGAGCAATGCTGCTCACCACTCCAGCATTAGAGAGGGGGCAATTTCACCACCAATTTGGAATGATTTTGCTGGAAGAATGGATCTGTTTGTACATAATTTCCCTGCTGCTGTGCACCCTGGGCTGCTGTCTGCTGAAAGACCCGTGAAGACCCAGAGAAGCACTGAAAAATCGTGGTAAAAGCAGCATGTGTGTGCCCAGCCTGTACTCCTCCCTGGCACAGGGGTGCAGCAGTGTTTTGTCCCAGCTTTTCGAGAGTAGAAAAAGGACAAAACAGTCATCTGTTATGTACTGGTGAATTCTCCCCTGGAGCATAACTTTTTACTCTATTCAGTGGAGGTGAGCTTTCACAGATACAGAACTGTACCTGGAGTTTTGGCCAGCCCCAGCTCCTTCCAATAAAGGTGCAAAATTCTGCAACAGACAGTGGTGGGATGGCCAGTCATGAGGAATTTCCTGAAGTCGTTACTGGATGTTGGTGCTTCACACTCAGGATGAGAATTACAGTCCTCCCCAAAATCATTCAATGGAAACTGAATTTGGACACTCCTTGTGGAGACAGCTGCACAGACTTCATGAAGGACTGTCCACCCTTCACCATTTTTGTCCAAGTCTTTCATTGTGCTTAGCTTAACCTGAGCTGAGCCACACAGGTTACTTGTGTTGCTGCGTAATTCAGCACATTCTCCATCTCCTGCTGCCTCCTTTAACAGATGATAATCTGCATGGCCAGACTTCTTCGCTGGATTTCTGACCCCCCTTGGCACAGGAAGGACCAGTCAGAGGAGACCACCATGTCTCCGAAGCCTCACAGACTGGGAATCTCTTTATCCAGGATCCAGATCCTACTGCACTGCAGCAGCCATCATTTTGTTCCTTTGTAGAATGGTCAAATTAGACTTGCTGGAAAATGCAGTAAGCAAAATGAATATGAGCTTTATTAATCAGAAAACTTCACATGTATCGATCCCATTTCTTACTTGATGTTCAGAGTGCCCAGCCATTTCAAAACACTGCTCCAATTTAGTGCACTTGCAGCCAAGATGGAGCTACACAAATCTATGGACGATCTTCAGTGTCGCAGACTAAGCAAACAAGATGTGGAAGATTATTAGAAACTGCAACATCCAGTTTTAGAAAGGTGGAAGTACTGTAAAGCTGGCAGCCTGCATAAGAGGCAGCGTTTATTCCCCAGGTCAAAGACATAAATGTATGTTAATTAAATATAATGCTATCTGTTCTGGTTGTTTAAATAGCTCTTTGTAAATTTTATGTCAGAGTCACCTTGAGACTTGAGAAGTTGCTATTGAGTTTTCTTGAAGTTTTTGCTACTAAAGGAAATTTCTATCCTGGTTTCTATTTTATTGTGCAAAAGATGCTTTTTCCATATTACCATTCCAATTTATTATACAGCTACACAAAAGACAGTCCCGAGCCAGGTTAACTTCCAGTATGAAATTAAGGCTTGCAGTTTATTTTCAAAACATTTAATATGGAGGCACCTGGCACTGACTGAATCATATCATCTCCACTCAGCTTGTTCCCAATGCGTCGCATATTTTTCAAGGCTTACTGTTCATGCTCCTTATAGCTCAATTTTCAACCATATCTTTCAGCATGACTGTTCTTATCCCCTACCAGTCACATCTTGCAATACACAGGACAATATAAAAAGGATTCTTTACCCACACACAAGCACGTACCAAGGACTTTGATAAAATCTGGATCAGCAACAGCCAGAATTACTTGAAATCAAATCCTAACAAAAGTCTTGATGGGACACTCAAACCTGGTTAATCCAAAACACTTTGCAAACTATTTTTATTCAAATGAAAAAGACTCAGGTAAACAAAGTGATAGTACATACATGTTATAAACCTGGTTAGCAGCTTAACCTTCAGGAGTACAAGATCTAATGAAAAGCCAAGCATGGATTAACCAGGTCCAAAAACATATGCTGAAAAAAAAAAAAAAAAGCCACCGACATCAACGTTTTGAATTTTTACACAAACAGTAAATTTTCTCATGGAAGGGAAGGGCTGAGGAAGAGAACAAATAATTATTAGTCATTTCCAACTGGTTTATGAAAATACCAGTCCTAGATTAACCTATTTGCCACTCTCACAGAAGCCAACTATTTCCCATACATACTTTTATTTTAATATGAAAGTCTTGTTTATGCCAGTACAATGCAGGGCAGTGGAAAACAAATGAGGGCTTCAAACACCCACAAAGAGAAAGACACAGACAGACATGTCTTTTTTTTCTTTTTTTTTTTTTTTAAACCAGAGCCAGAAAAGTTTCTTTTGCTGGTTTTGAATTCTAGACTGTAGCCATTATAGCCTAAATTTTAATGCAATTGACTGAAATGCCTCCAATCTGCAGAGACATGATTTTGAAATAAATAAACAAAGCTTAAAATAATTGATTAGGGCCAGCCCAGTGGCTTAGTGGTAGCGCTCTGCACTGCCTTGTGGGAGGACCCAAGTTTTGTTTGCACTTCCAATCTCTTGCTCCTGGGCCAGAAAGAGCAGTGAATGAAGGGCTTCAGCTGCCCGGGCAGGAGAGAGCCAGTGCCACAAGTCTGCTCATCACTGACCTTCAGATAAATTAAACATCTGAGTTATACAGGCTCCAAAGGGAGTCCCATCCAGTCCTCAAAAGAAAATAAATAAAACAATAACTTAACTAAAATCCATCCCAGGTTCTTTGGTGTGATTTTTGTTAATGCTGAGAAGTAGGAGAATCTGGTGGTCTATTAGTACAATCCATGATAGCTCCAAAACCTCAAAAACTAGGATTTGCTGCCTGATTTGCTTCAATGTCCCATCTTTGTGGCTAAAAATATTGCAAAGTCTATGGTAATTTAAACACATTTTAAAAGATACTGTATGTATGGGGGTGGTCTAAGACTATTCAGATTCCTCTTTATTTAATAAAACTGATCATTTACAAAAGCCAGTAAAGAATTTCTGTACCATAGGTGTGCTACTTGTTGAGTCCAAAACTGTAATTGTCCTATATGTTGCTTAGCTCCATTTTCTTCACATTCATTGCACATCTGACCTAAACTATCCTTAAGTGCCTATTTGTAATTGCATGTTTTTTTGTGCAATGACTGGAAGATTGCCATGGGAGAGGAATTACCCAGTAAAACTAAGTAACAGTTTACACTTGCATGTCATTTCCCTCATCAGTATTAATTACATCAGCAGAACAAATCCCAAGATATCCAGTATTTGAAGAAAAATATTTAACCTTCTGCCAAATATACTGAAATGAAAATGCTCTGTCCTATAGACTTCAAAACCCATTTCCACATGATGAACATCTCTAGCAGTAAGATGAGGTGTATCAGTAAATCGGTTCTTCTGGACTGAGCTGCAGCGACCACATTCCTGCCAACAATTATTTTTCAAATGAATACGGCTTTCCCAGTTACTTAATGCAATCCAGAAGTATTAATTCTTTTGCTAAAATTAAATACATGAAAGGATTTACCTTTAAACAAACAACTTTGCAACCCAAAAGGCTGGTTAGTTACGAGGACAGGTAAGTCTTTAGCAGAAGGTAGCCACAACTTTGAAATTTGGCAAGAAGAGTCTACACCTACCTTAAAAAAAGAGAGAGAAACCCAACCCAAACCCTCTGAAGACTGTAATGCAAGTACTCTTTCTCCAACGTACTCGGTATGCTGAATTTACACATACCATACAGTAGTATTTTACTTTAAAGTTAATTTAAGCATCAAATTTCTCTCAAGATTTGCATTGCAAAACTTTCATTAAGGTGAATCAATACATTTAAGAGAAGCATACAAAAATGTCTTACAATGCCCAATCATTAACAGAGTATGTGTGAATTTATAAACATCACATTATTTCACTAACAAAACAACTTCATTTCTCCTCTAACTTACCTTCCAAGACCTGGACTGGTGTGAAGTTCTGCATGCCTCTCCCACTTGCAGACAGAATTGCTTAGGGAGGAATCTTCCCCTTCCCACTGCTCCGTGTGAGGGACATCACAGAACCCCCAAATCAGGTCATGGCAGATGAAACATTTCACTTTCTAAAGGCATGCCAGTACATGTATTCTGTTACTGATTTCTGTTACTGATTTAGGATCGCAGTGGCCTTGGCTACACAATTAAATAACTGGACAGGACTGGACAACATTAGCAGTCAAGACACCCTTGTCCCGTCCACACTAGCACTTCCATGATTGCTATGACCCACTCAGCTGCCTCAGTATTGACCTGAAATGTCATTTTCCCCTAGCATTAATGCACGTCTTACCTTTAGCTTCTTCTAAGAGATCCTCCCTGTTCACATCCAAGCGATTTCTGCTGGAAGTGGCTAGCATACAAGCACACGTACACACATTCTTCTAAGATGTAAACTATGACTAATTTCACATTCCACTGTATCAATCTGTAAATACTTTGTTTTCTTTTTTCTTCTTTTATATAAAAACAATGGCATCAGAGTCTCAGCAATAAAGTATAAGAAAGATGAATCCTTGACTACACTTAACCAATTATGAAATCGCCTTTCAAACAAAGGAAACATATGCAAAAATCCGTGTATTTGATAAAGTCAACTTAATATAACAAAAAGTGAAATATGCTTATTAAAAGTGTCCTTATATAAAAATGGTCTTGCAATGTACAGTAAAATGCAATACAAATTATTGTTGGTTACCTCTTCCCACCCAGTAACTAAAACAGCTATTGTTCCACAAAACTCCTTATATGCCGGTATCAAAGAAAGAAGCAATTAAGCGACTAAACATTTTCTATGTTGTATGCCTGACGGATATTGAGGGTGTCTCGGAGCATCAAGTCTCGCAGACGCCACAATGCATCAGCCATTGTGGTATGAGCCCCTTTACTTTTCAACCAGTGTGAAGGGAGTCGGCTCTCCTGTTCTTTCGATAAGTGGACATCTCGTCTTCGTGCTGGAAGATCAAGAAATGGTCCAGTTATCTACTGGCTTTGATATTCACCACAATTTTTCTAGAAAAAGGTGAGTATAATTCTACAGTGTAACTTTTACCTCTAGTATTTAAACCCATACAATTGATTCTTAGATTTATACAATGTCGATGGAATTAGCCTGCTGATATATTCCCAGACTGTTGATTTAGTTTTAACAATGAAGTACATGTGTGGACTTTAAGTAAGCAGCAGATATATGTAGCATTTTCAAGAGAAGCAAAAAATATTAATGGTTATGAAGTGTGTTCTGTGGAAACATCCCACTCTCTACCAAAAGCCTTACCTGCAAGGGTCTGGTCCCACTTGCTGATACTATTTGATTCAGCACTAAGCCCCTCAATGTATTTCAGATAGGCTTCAGAGTGAAGAAGCCTCTGTGTCTTTGGTGGAGGGGAGACGAACATGGGAGTTGTGGGCTGCTGCATAATGGGCTGACTCGCTGGGCTCTGGCCGGGGTACGGAGGGGGGGCCTGCTGTCCTGGTGGGCCGAGGATACCTATCTGCAATGACAAAGCAATGGAGAGATCACTTCTGGGGAAACTGAACTTCACATCTGTGCATTGTGTCATCTTCATGCAGTGGAGCTTTAAAACAGGTTATGAGCAAAGGTGTAAGAAAATTTCCCTGGAAGACACCCACTTCAGCCAGGGCTATTTGCTGGGGTCATTGACATGCAGAGAGAGGAAGGAAGTGCACACAAACCACATTCATCTTTAATATACAACATTGTTCATATTTAACAGACCACACTGTCCATATTTTTAACCTATGTAAATATACTCTGATTACAATCACCATTTACCCCCCTCTCCTGTTAACTTTAATTACTCCTTTTGCCTCCTTTGTATTTCATGCTTTCTCTAACTTGACCAGAACCTGTGTGGCCTGCGAAGTACGGGGTTAGAAATAAACACTGACTTCAAACTGACCCTTTGGACAACTGGGATACTTCCGCAGAATAGATGCTAATTGCTGCCAGGCAAAAATTGCAGGCAGACAAAAACCAAATAAAATCAGTCACACAGAGGAGTTCCCACCACTGTGATTAAGCAGCAGTACTGAGACCTCTTAGCACAGATATCCTGTGGTCTGGAGTAACTCAGTATTGTGACATGTACACTTTAATACATTCTCACTCAACTTCTGGTTTTCTTTACACACTCTAACCAAAATTCTATTTCTCTTAATGATGCAAAAATTCAGTCAATGAAATTGGAAATGTGCTGAACACGTCATCTGTATTACTCACTAAGAAGGAACATCTGACCAACACTGTTACCCAAACTCACAAATTCTGAACTGCAAATGAACATTTGCTTTGTCAGTTTGTGAAATATGGGAGCAAACAAAACAGTTTTGACCCACTCATTAACAGCTGAAAAAGTGGACAGCATCCTCTCTGCATCACCAAAGCATGCAAAAACCTAAATCATGAGCAGTTTAACAGTGTGTTTGAATGACTTGTCTTAGTTTAGTAGAAGGAAAACAAAACAAAGTATGCTTATACTGTAGAAGTTATCCCACTGGACGGAACCCAATTAGTCTAATAATTCAATCAACAAATACAGACATACACTCTGAGTGTTAAGACATTAACTGGTCCTAAATACATCAGTGTACATTTTGTTTATGTCCTCCCTGGGAAAGGCTATGTGCATCCCTACATGTCTTAACTGAGATGTTGTTCAAATGCTAAATTCAGAACCTTAGAGCCACATAAATAATGCAAAAATGACTCACCGGCTGTCCAAAAGGACTTGCTCCGGGTGCTGGAGTGCCTACCATGGGGGACACGTTTTGGCCTATAACACCTATATTCCAAAACATAAAATAATTAGTCTTATTTCAGAGCAATGACAAATACCTCTTTGGTCTTCTACAGTAATAATTTATACTTTGATATCATCGCTCACAGTTATTTTAAGCAGATGTATGACATTCAAACATCCCCTCTCCCCCAATAAAAAAACCCAACCCCTAAGAGTTTCTGAATGAAAAAAAAAAAAAGAAAAAAAGCCAACATGACAACTACCAAATATATGGCCTGTTGAATTAATTTAAGAAATCTGAAGTGGATAATTTTTGGTTTTCAAGTTCTTTTCACATTACTTAGTGATTGCCTGACTAGATCTTTTCATTTATAATATATGCTTCTGGCTTGACAGGATCTTCCTGGAATCCTTTGAGAAAGGAAATGCTTATTTGCTTTAGCAACATTTAACATTTCCCTGTGGTTTTATAAAAAACATTCACAGCAGAAGGAAATCCAAGCCACTGCATAAGTTCTGTTAGATCTCAGCAATATAAAACACGATTTGCAGGTTAAGCTTAAACAGTCTTATATATGAGACCGATGAACATTCGAAATAAACTTAAAAAAAATAAAACTTGTTAGTTTTTCTCAAACATATCAAGGCTTTCCCCTACTGCACAGAGTGCAGCAGAAAACACCCATGTCAGTCTTATATACAAAAATGTACAAATCTAAATGAGAGTCATGCAGTAACTGGTATTATACATACAGGATATGCTTTGGTCCGAACAAAATGAAAGTTATGAGTGCTCCTGCTTTTCTTTCTGTTTATGCCACTTCTTATATTCATTCACTGGAAAAGCTGCAAACTAACTGTGCTCTTCCTGAGGGTTTAATTTGCATGCAGATTTCTGTATCAGTGATCAAAAGATGTGCCACTGCATTTTGCACGCTAAAGTGTATTTTGAATGCATTTTCCATTTGATCACAGACCCCATTTTAAATGCATCTGTACTAACAGCAAGTCACAAGTTGGGAAAAACACTGATAATACAAGTTGTCAAATATGACACGGATTTGTTTTGGTACAAAGCAAAGAGGTCTGGTAGAGGGAACCCTCACCTTGCCAGCATCAGAGCATGGCTTCACCCTTGTCCCACCCTCCCCAATTTAGCACCACTTCAAGTGTGGTCCTCCATTCCCAGGCATTATTTTTTCCCTAACCCATATCCTCTCAGTTTTAAACACCATACATACAGCCCACTTCTCCAGGGAGAAAAACTCTTCAAAGAAATGCATAGTTCTCCCAAACATTTGTATTGACTGATGTGTGCAAAGTGCCACTACCTTGGTGAGTCGGAGACAGGCTCACAGACACACAGCTCTTTTCCTACTGAAATTATGGTGAATCTTACACACCAGTGAAGCTGCACACCCCATATTGATGGATATTTTGAAAACCAAGCATACCAACAAAATAAAAAAAAACACCAACCCAACCTAAACCAATCCACATAAAGAAGTCTTAAAAGAGCTTCTGATAAACACAGTTGCAAGTGGGGTTGGGGTAGGCAAATGAGACCACTTTTGCCCACAGCTCATCTAACTGCTGAACAAATTCTGTTAGAATTTGAATATATAGAATGCACATCTTTTAAATAGGTACATGAGTTATCAGAGGTAAAAACTGAAAGAAAACAGGATCAGAGGGCAAATGAACATTTTTCCCCATAATGGGTACATGTTAATGGCATTAACACTGGAAAAAATATTTATTTTTCATTCAGCCTCGCTTTTCATCAAAAGTGTGGCAATAAAGCAGCAAATGTGTAGTAGATATGCTCTCAAAAATTAATTCAAAATTTGGCCACAGTAGCGTTTACCCCATTCCCGAAAGTTTCCAGTTACTGTTCTATCAACAAGGTTTAATCTGAACACTGTTTCATAATCACATGTCAGTGTCCCAGAGGCCAAGGGGTCTTACATGACCAGGTTCACTGAAGTGCAGTCTTACTACTAATAAACATCAATATATTGTAAAAGAGTTCAGGAAGGAATGAGAGCAATAGATTTCATTTATAAGCCCACTTTAAATAAAAACAGGAGGAGAGGAAGGATGCTGTTCAATGTTCAAGGATATGAATAGGCTGATTTCAGCTTTTCAGGCCTCTGATAAACTCAAGCGCTATTGTCAGGTTTTTTTGGCTGGAGCAAAACTACTGCTGGAGCAGCGTTATGTTTCTCCAGTAACCTTTCCCTGCTGGTTTTCTGGACATGCTGTTCTGACACCAATTTACATATACCTCATACATTCAGCAGTGCATGGTGTGCGCTGCAGCTAAACAAACCTGCAATGTTCAGAAACAAAAGCTGTGACCAAAACAAGCTGCAGACAATTTCTGTAACAACTGGTTAAACAGCAAGTACATGAAAATGAAATAAGGAGCAAATGAGGATGACATTCTTACCGGGTGGTGGGATGCCTGGGATGCCTGGCATACCTGGCGGAAGTTGGTGGGGTGGGGGCACCCCTGGGTGAAGTGGCTGCATGCTGCCCATGCTAACAATGCCATCAACTGGGCCCTGCAAAGGTGGCAGCACCGGTGGATAGCCACTTATCATGCCTTGAAGGACACAACAAATTTCAAACATGCATCAATAACATGCAATATGATCTACACAGTAAGACATGCGCTACCCACAAAAAAAAGAAAAAGCACCTTTAGTACAGCAAGACGATACTACAATTAGTATCTTGCAAAAATGAACAAAAATTAAAAAAAAAAGTTACAAATATGAAACACTATACTTCGGATGAATTAGTATTTAGTGTATTTGTATGTTTCTCATGGGGCAATAAATGCTGAATATTCAGGTATGTTAACACAAGGAATACGTTCAGCCACAATTAAATGTTACTAACGCAAGCAATTTTAATACAGCTTAAAGCTCTGCCATCTGCATACAGATTACAAACACAACACTAACTACACAAGCTTCACAGCCCTGCTGTGTGGGCTAGCTCAGAGACCAGACCCAACTGGAACAAAAATAAAATCCCATACATTTTTTTGCAGTGCATATGCAAAATGAACACACAAAAGCCCTACAACATTCGCATACTTAAAACTAATGGCAGTGACGGGTGATTTTACTTAAACCATCTTCAGTATGAACTGAAAAAGTAATTCAGATTTGAAACCTGACAGCACTGGATGTGCTGGCCTGCAGTAACTTACACACTAGACTTAAGTACAAGGACTTGTAAGGAGCACCTACAGTCCCTCACAGAATTTCATTGTCAATATCTTCAAGGTGTCTTTCTAGGATAATCAATGCTATGAGGAAGATGCTATTGTGCTGCTGATATAGATTCAGTTTTCTGCATTATTCTGGTTTCAGCTCAGGTTTGCTCCTATCCATGAGGTGAACCTACACAATATAACTGCACTACTTTTATTAGGTCCTGGAACATAACTTGTGTGTTCATAACTTGCTTGTACTATGCCTGTTTTCTAGGCTTTTTTATTTAAATGGATATGTTGTCAGGTAACTAAGCAAAGGGGTTGGAAAGACAATGAAAAGATGACGGAGGACAGAAGCAGGTCTAGAGAGATGAGGTAAGTTTAGAAATGCAAAACTGCTGGTGCTTCTATAGTCTGTTCCAAGAAACTGCCTACTGAGTCTTTGCCACATTCTAAGTAAATCATAAAAGAAATTACCAGGACAGGGATTTCTGGAATAAGACTGGCCAAAACTTCACACTGGCTCAGACTGAAAACAAAGCTGTCACAAGCTTAGGACTGAAACAGATCGAGCAGCTCCAAAACACAAGCTAAATTTGTCCCCTCCCCAGGAGGAGTTACAAAGCTGAGAAACCTGAAATTCCAAAGCTTCACATGGAGCAAACAACAAGAAAATAATGAACTGATCTTCCTCAAACCTTCATCCTCCACAGGATACCCAGACTGACACTTATTACACAGGTCTTAGGTACCTATTTCAAACACCTGGAAGCTCATTTGTGTCTCTTTAGTAACACAGTGAAATCCATATTCCTAATGGAAAAAGTAAAAGAAAACCAACAAAAAGGGATGTAGCTACTGCCTGGTATTTCCAGTGCACGCCGAGCTGCAATCACATCTTCATTGCATTTACATATACTTCTGAAGCTTTAAAACAAACAAAACAAAACAAAGTCCAATGAAACAAACCCATATTTATCAATCATGAAAGCTTATTTCTGTATTTCCAAATTAAATACTCAACAACTGGCTGCATTAATAAAGCTGCCATCCCAATGTCCATGAGCAATCTGTTCTTTCAGCTCCTTACAAGGTTATAAGAGCAGCCACTTTTGTACCCCATGTGTAAGTTACCACTTTGATTTTACAATCGTAAACATGGGCAAACTATGTCCAGCTCTCACAGCTGTGATTTATGTTCTCCCATTTTTTACTATAACAGTGTAAGATTAAACAAACTTTTTTAATGCCTAAATTTACAAGAAGCTAGAGCACTGCACGACAAGAAAAAAGTGTCTCAGAAGGCATCCAGATCTCTTGGACTCACAGGCCATAAAGAAGTTCTATGAACATCTGTGATGGAGAAGTTCTCTGAATTCAAGAAAAGCAATCAAATGATGGAGGAGGATGTGAAAGAGGTCTCAACAGAGTAAGATACTTTCAAGTAAGACTTGTGGAAACCAAAAGATGAAATACTCTGTTTTTCAAATGAGCTACAAAAATAGAAAGAGTTTAAAGAGATCCACTTGATCACCTGCTTTGAGGAAGTATTTCACAATGCTGAAGTGAAGAGACTTGAATGTCTAACGACCTGAGTAAGATGATGATTTAATTACAGGCTTGCTCTTGATGAGCCTGCCACAGGAAGGAAGTTAGCATTTGTACTCTGCAGAATGCACATCGTTTGAAAAGCTTTAAGGAAGTGTTAGTATTATTGCCCATCAACACCTACCTCCAAAAATAGGAAAAGTGACTCAATGCCAAAAAAACAGGAACCAAACCAAGAAAACACAACCACAAGAGGATGACATTTCAACATACTCTAGATTGAAGTAGGTTACTCACAAAAAGAGATCAGCACTAGGGAACCCCTTTTTTCCCCCTTTTTCTTAATATACGCACAGGTATGTGCAAACACACAAACCCACACACCAACTGCAAACAGTTCAGAGGAAAACTAGCAAGAACAAAGTGAAAAATATAAAAGAAAAATGCAACTCAGCGTAAACAAATGCTTTGTCATCTGGAGACCATGAAGCAAATAAGGAATGTGCCTTCAGTTTAAACAACCATGCAGCCTATTTACTGAAAAGGGATTCAGAGACTGTGATGAAAAACGCTTCAGGCTGTCAGCTCTAAATACAGCCACAGCCTGGGAGATGGGAAAGAAAAAGAAAAATGACAAAAGAATATATGGAATAATTGGAATGCCTTAAGGGAAAGTTAAAAATAAAAACCCAAACTCAAAACAAAACCCCCTCCAAATGCTAATTTTTACCTACTTGGCACTATTTTGACCTTGCCTGAAGTAATTAATTATTTTAATTAAAAATGAGGGAAGAAAACCTATTAGGTTTTCTTTGAACCTATCAGGTCACAGCTAATTCATTTCCTCACCAGTGTATGGCTGATTCCCATACAAGAATCTCCAGTGGACTATACTGTCTTCAGATCTGATCCTGGAAATCGCTACTCCAAGTATACCCCCTATGAATTTAAGCCAGATAACAACTGGTAATGAGCACAACACCCAGCAACAGCAACCTTGTGGAAGACTTCTCCAAGCTCAGTTCTATTCTGAAAAATCAGCTGATAAAACCAGCAATGTTAGCATTTTGTATTTGTTTCTGCAAGGGTTCTAGATCCTAGTCTGCTCTGCTTACTAGTGTCTGATCAGCAATGCTGTAAAGCCTTTACTTGGATTTAAAATCAGGCTTGGATTCTGTTTGCCTCTCACCTTCCTGACAATAAAACCAAAAATAATAATTTGCCTCCTACTTTACCACTTCCGCTGATGCTGCATGCACTAGAAAAGTATTCAGCTCACTCCACTCCTGCCATGTTAGCAGGGCTAACCATGAACTCTGCAAAGTGGAGCGAATAAACATGACTGCCCACTGAACAAGGAGGACCCTTTTTCCCTGCATTTTCAACAGGCTACTCACTATTGGAACAACTAATGTGGGACTACCAGGCTACCGCTGCTGTTATGTATATTCATTATGAAGAAAGACTGAAGAGGTTGAGCTTTTTCTTCTGTAAGAACAAAGTGACCCAAGAGAGTGTTCAGAGTTATGAAGGGGGTTGATATAGTGGATGAGGAAAAAATGGTCATAGCTCCTACGTTTTACCTGCAACGGGTGTCAACTGCTGATTGAGCATTCCCATTGGTGTTGGTGGCGGCACCACCCCCATAAGAGCCCCGACAGGAGTGCCTGCCCGGGGGGAGGAATTCTGCTGCTGTGCTGCTCGCTCTCTCTCCTGCTGCTCAGCAACTTTAGCTGCCCGCTCTGTAAAAGTATTTTAGATTTTCAGTTCTGTTTTGTAACCCAGAATTTCAAAATATTATCTGTTCATTAAAAAGGACTAGTCAAACACTGGCATAGTTTAGTCAAATATAAAGTAGAACAGATGAATCTTTTTTTTTTCATACAGCATATGATTTGATTTCATGTGGCTGCAGCTAAGACTTTTAGAGAACCTTTCATAAAAAATATTCCACAAAGTTTTATCTCTTTCTAAAAAAAATAATAATCATATAAATAAATAATAA